TATCCTGCTCTTTTATTGAAATCAGAAGCAAAAGATGACTTTGATGAGATGCTTATAGGATTTATCAACACATTTGGGGGCAGAACATCTCCGAGTTAGGTTCAGCATCTGTGTCTTGAGTGTTATCCACATTAGAGGTTTAATTTACAGCTTTAGGCCACACCATGGACTGAGAAAAAGACAACTTTACACAAAAGGGCCAATTATGTTATGAAGGGAATATCTTTTCAGAAGTGTGGAGAAAGCTTAATAGGAGTTAATAATGTTCTGTAACCACCAGAAAAAAGAGATTATCTTAAAGAATTAACTGAAATATGGATTTCCCATCATTCTACCCACTGCACCTGTCAGATCTTCTGTAGTTTTATGTCCATTTCTTAGTATCACAAATGCAAGTGGGCAGCCACTCTGGGTGGATATACTGTGTGTACTGGGAGTGCATGTAGTGAATTGTGTGTGGTGGCGTTCCTGTGTGCTAGTGATGTGCATATCTACATGTGTGTGCATAGCTAGTACAGTGGGTGTGTATATGCATTACATGTGACAGTGTACATGTGTGCGTATGTGGTGTGAACCTGTACGTGTGTGGTGTGCACAGTAGGTATAGTGTTCACAATGGGTTATTTCTTTTTAATATTTTTTATTGGTACATTTTAGGTATGCAATACAGTTACATTCATCATTGGGATCTTGTACCTTTACATGATATATCTTGGTTATTTTTTCCCCATTCCCCTACCACATAGTTTCTGTGGTATGATAAACTAAAAGTGTAAGTAAGGGGCAAAGTGTATAACTGATATTTTGTAATAGGAAGAAAAGGTCTGAAGGTGTTGGGCAAATGGGAGGGGTAGGGGAAAGGTAAAAATGGAAGAGAAAAATATGAGAAAATGGAAATAAAGTCTTTGTAAAAAGGGGTTAGTATTTGTATTGTGTGTGGTAGTGAATATGTATGTAGGGTATGGATTTGCGTGAGAGTCAAGGCAAGAGTGGTGGAGACAAGAATAAAGTCAAGACCGTATCATATGAAGAATGACTAAATGCACTAGCACTTCCTACATTGTAAAAGTGATATACAAGCAATATATATTGAATTTTTTGTTACAAATGGGATGCAATTTAATGAGGCACATGATACGGTAGTAATACAATAAAATGACTGATGACACTGCTTTTAAGAGAGAACCAATTAAACAAAGTGCCTAGCATTTATGTTTTAAAGAGAGAGGAGTTTTGCCACTGTACATTCTCCAAGAATTACTACAAAGTTTAGAAAGACCCTTACAAATGCGCTAAATGAAATACAAATTTAGGAAATAAATACATAACCTAAATATTGTAATCTAACAACTGCTAGTTGTACTTTGAACTACCTAGAAATGGTGAATCTGTACCAAGTGACTCAATGCTTCTTCCCTTTTTATGCCTTCTATTAGATCATGGTGAATGGAATTTATGTTTTTCTCTCTAAAATTTACTGATTTTTAATAATTAACATTTTTCGAAAGCACTTAACAATTTTGTACAGAACAATTTACACACAGAAGCTTAAAAAAATGCTTGGTTAGATGACCATGTAGGAAATGTAGCACTTAGGCCTATCACCATTTAAGGATGAAGAGGAGTCAGCCATTACTTATTTTGACAGTAAAGTATATATCCAGCAAAATAATTTTTGAGTAAGCACAAAATTAGCTACTTTTACATGGACCATAAAATTAATTTTGCCACCACTCCATCTGATCATTCTGTGAAGGAAAATTACTATTTTCAGGATTTTTCCCCCATTAAGTTTATTGGTACAGTCAAAGCGAACATAAGAACCAAGACATATTGTGTAATGGTACAAGATCCCAATGATAAATGTAACTGTATTGTTTGGTATACATTCATTTTAAAGGGATGATTGGGTCGAGGGTAATAACATCTTATTCCTCTACAGTTGTAAGAGATGGAGTAGCACTAAAGGTTAAAAATTCAACACAAGAAATATTTTTCAGCTTATGTATCTGTCTTTTTTCACTTAACATTATTTTTAATAGGATCTACTTGCTTACAAATACCTCGAGCTTCTCTTTCTTGGTGACATAGTAGTACTCCACTGTTTATAAATACTTTTTTATCCATTCATTTGCTTGCCGACATGGTTTTATAGGAGAAATTCACATACATATATATATATATATATATATATATATATATATATATATATATGTATTTGTATATTCGTATACAAATATGCATATATGTGTGTGTGAATATATACATATCATATATTTGATCCAGCCATCCCTCTGCTGGGTATCTTTCCAAAAGAATTAAAAGAATCCTACCACAGCAGTACATGTGCATCTATGTTTATAGTGGCACAGTTTGTAACAGCTAAAACTTGAAAACAGCCCAATTGTCCATCAACTAGAGACTGGTTAAGGAAAATGTGATTTTTCTATAAAATGGAGTACTACTCAGCCATAAAGAATGAGAAACTAGAATCATTTATAGGAAAATGGATGCATACTGAGGCCCTACCCGTACTCTTTTTTCTTTTCTCATTGAATTTACTGGCACTTTTTAGGTATACAGTACAGGCCAAACTCTTAAGGGAAATAAGTAGGACACACATGTGTAAATACCAAATAGTTTCTCTGGTTTGAAAAACTAAAAGTGTAAATAAGATCTAAACTGTATCATTGACAATGTGAAATAGGAAGAAAAGGGCTAGAGGAGCAGGGGAAGTGGAAGGTGCAGGGGAAAGGAAATAAGGGAAAAGAAAAAATATGAGAAAAGGAAAAAAATGGAAACAAAGGCTTTGTAAATAGGGGAGGGTGAAGGGAGGACAGGGGAATGTTAAAAAAATAAGAACCAAGATACATCCTACAGAGGTATAAGATCCCAATGATGAATGTAACTGTATTGTTTACCTTAAATGTACCAATAAACAATGAAAAGAATGCAGAAACATTCGGGAAAAAATGTGATATTTTTCATCTTATGTGTCTGTCTTTTTTCACTTAACATTATTTTTGAATAGGATCTATTGGCCTACTAATACCTCGTTTCTCTTTCTTTGTAGCATACTAGTGCTCTATTGTTTATAAATACATTTTCTTTATCCATTCATTTGTTTACAGACACGGTTTTACTTATATAAGAAATTCAAATACATATATGTATACAAATATGCATGTATGTGTATATATCTGTTATACATACATATCATATAAAGGACAAAAAGAAAATAAATACATGTGAAGTAGGATAACGTTCTGGTAATTCTCCAAATCACCTATTCTGTTGTTTCAAAAACATTATAATATTTACGCTAATATGTTCAATTCACACTATTAGTTTCGTTTCGTTCATTGAAAAGAAAGTTTTTTAATTTATTATTTATTATGTATTTGTTTCTGCTGTGTAAGAACGATGTTTATGTCATACTCTAAGTAATCATTTTGAAGATAAGGATACATAGTATTTAGCTTTTGTGATTTTTTCATTATTTTATGATATTTTCTTTTATATTTCATAAAATTAAAAAAAAAGATTTTTCTCTCCAAATGTTCTGCTTCTCACCTAATAAATAATAAGATGGACCAAAATGTCTTTATTAACCTTCCTATGTTCAAATGAAGCTGAGAAAAATATCAAATTACATGATATTGAGGAACCCTCCCATCATTGGGAGCTGGTCATTTTAAGCAAAAAAAAAGTAAATAAATTCGGCCCCTGGCTTTTTAAGTACAGACAGTTGAAGGTTGTTATTACTTTATTGCTGATTTACCTTGATTTCATAGACTGCTGTTATTTTCTGGCTGCTTAGCATGAAAATAAACCCTCTACTTCTGAGATACTTTCTCCCCACCTCCTGACTTACTTGTCCAACGTAATGCTCTGGATTGGGTTGTTTAATGCAGAAATAGGAGAATAGAGGCCATGAGCAGTTAAGTTATTCACAGCCCAACCCAGTGGTGCCAGTGAGAATCTAAAGGAAATGTCCTACCTGCATTGCTTTCATTATTGACCATTTTATGAGTGTGGTCCCTCACTTCATAAAGATTTTGTGAGTATTTCTATCTGATGAGTAGCTCCTGAAAACCAGAGACAATTTCTGCTGCTTGCAGGGAATAAGTTCCTCCCAATGAGTTGCTCTTCTACTCAGACGAAGAGAAGTTAGTGGAAATGGACTGACTTACGAAAAATAAAACAGCCAGGGATTTGCTTGGATGGGTTATGCCTAGAACGTTTGCTTGCAACAGAATTCTATACAGCAATCTGCATTACAATCGGAAGATTTGGGGAACATGGAGTCCATGAGACAGATTTATATAAGGTACACATGATTAAGGTGGATACCAAGCTCAAATATTGGAAGCCTGATGTATATTTCTTCTCATCAACAGAACTTTCATGCTATCTATCCAGACAATAGAATGGGAAAATGATATTTCAATTTTCTCTTAACTTCTAAAACGATTTTGATGCGTTATCAACAATTTTTCCCTGATTCCTTTTCATCAGTATTGCATGTTAATCCTTTCTGATGGGTACGTTTTAATGTAAAACTTTATTCTTTGCTTCTTCTGAAGGGATAATGAACCTGTAAGAAAGTTCTCCAAAACTCCATTATCCATTATTTTTCCATAATTTAATTTTCAATATTACAACGTCTGTCTGAGTTGTCAGACTACCTCAGGTATATATGGGGCATATCCTTTGGTGGATTACATGCCTTTATAAAGATTCAAAATATCCTTAATAGTTATAGTAATAAATCATGGTAATGCATTGAATATTTAGAAAAGTGAACTTAAACTTGACCTTCCTCAGCCATTCATGACCTGAAATCCTTTTTCCAATTAGAATTATTTCTTCCTGTCAAATATATTATATATTTCCACTGACTACACAAGAATAAGTCTCTTAAAATTAAGTATCCCTTCTTAGATTATCCTTATCACGTAAGAAATTCAATGTAAGGGTACAGAAAGTACTGTGTCAGTTATCAATTTATTCCAAAATCTGCGCTAAAAGAAGGGGTATAGAAGAGTGGAACAAAAAAATCATGAGTGGTATGAATGAGGTAGTTTTGCTACTAACCTGTTATTTGTCCTTGTGCAAGTCTGCAAATACAGCCAAAATTGAATGACTAAATTTTTTCTCTTGTACAAAAGCAGCATGTGAAGATCAAATGAGATTGTATATTTTTAAAGAATAAGATAAATATTTTATAAATAGCATAATCATTTACAGCATTGTAATCAGTCACTACACAAAACATGCCTAGCCTTCCTAATGTAAGTGAAACATTGGGGCTTTTTAAATATTTTATTTGTCAAAGCAAATTTTTCTTCACGAATTAGCTAGTTGCTAATCCGTCATAACTTACTATTACAGAGGATATCAGAACAGTGCCCATATAAAAGCATTATATCTGAGAAATGTCAGAAGTTCTCATCTTCAGATATCTACTTATATGCAGAAAGTAACGACATACATTACGAAGATAAATAATGATGGAGCAAAACACTAGTCAAGTAGCACTGGCTAGTGTAGTCTATGATCGTGGTGTGAATTCAGAGAGGAGGAAAACACTGAGATTCCGTTTCTAGTTACGTCCGTTGGAAACACTTCCCTCGGTGATGTCGACGGGATAAACTTCCTCACTTCCTTTGAGTCTGCGCATTGAGATTCTTCTCGCTGGATGGAGCTGAGAAGACATTCACATTACTATTTCTTCTATAACATGCTTATATTTAATTCGAATTTCACTTCCAGTGTTACCACTCTTTCTCTGCTAAACACACACAAAAAACACACATACTCACCCTTCTTCTTTTGCACTTTTTGTCTTCTTAAAATTAAGGAGCCTAGCATCTCTCTCTCTGCCTCTCTCTCTCTCTCTCTCTC